TTTCAAGTTCCAAGAGCTCTACAGAATTCTCTCAACGAAATTCAAGTGTTCTTGAAGATCCAAAGGCGTTTTTGAAGATTCGAAGGAAGATTCAAGCACGTTCAAGTCCAAAACCGACGTTCAATCCGGAAACAAGCTGTCAAGCCTCCGAATTGCGTTATTAAAGTTCAAGTGTTTTGAAAATTCAAAGGCGTTCTTGAAGTCCCGAAGGATGATTCAAGCGCATTCAAGCCAAAAACCGACGTTTAATCCGGAAACAAGCTGTCAAGCCTCCGAATTACGTTATTCAAGTCAAGACCGGCGTAGAGAAGATCAAAATCAACTTTGCGGCGAAGACCAAGGATTCGTGTTCTTCACGTTCTTGGGAAATCACGACGTTTGATTCGAGATCAAGCTATCAAGCCCTCGAAGAAACGTTATTTAAATCCATATTCAAGACTGACGGAGATCAAACTGAAGATTAGTCTCCAAAAATCTCAAGTCTATTTGAAGATCGTTCTTGAAGAAATTAATCAGAGGAATAATAGAGATTTGTAATCCACTATATTTCTTTTGATCCATTGAAAATCAATTTGTACGAATTTCTCGTGTTTATTAATTCAATAATACGAAATTTTGCGTTACAGCTGGCTCGAGATTTTAGAGATTCAGAAGTTTCGGAGACCGGTGTCATTTAAGCTTTTAGTTGATTCTTCGGTTTTACTGCTCTCATCAGCTATGTCTTCACTAACATTACATAAATTTTGAAGACCATTATTGTATCAGGAAGAAGTGATTGATTTTTGATGAAGAAAAGTTCATATCTTTTTTAGCAGGTGTTTCAGTATGATTCATGTCTTGATTGATTTAATCGTTTCTTATTCTGAGGCCTGCGTATTTGTTGTTTATGTTGGTTTGTCAATAATCTTGTATGGGAAATTAAAAAAAAAAAAAAAAAAGGCCCAAGTGGAATTGGAAAGGAGAGATTGTGTGAAGTTGGTGAAAATTTATATGCATAGTATCAAATTTGTCAACTTTTATTTTTATATAATACAGGAATAGAGCTTGATACTCAAGAGCTGACCAGCTCTATGCATCTTTTCCTGCTGGAATTGAACTTCTAGCTGACTAAGCAAAGGTATGTGACTATGTGTACTATAAAATGAAACAATTTTGACTTAAATTACTTCCCAATCAGTTTTAAGGTAAATGGCTTAGCCGAATACCAACTAAAAGTAAAGTTCATCGGCTTTAGGTGTTGATATTGCCTTACCCTCTTTGGGTGGTCTCTTGAGTTTTTGCTTGCATGTTAAATTGAATAAAACTTACCTGTTAGCAGTTGTTTTAAATTTGTTATTGAGTTACATTATGCTTTTTATGTGAGATGATATTATTCAGCCAACAAATTCAGCTCTAAGATGCAACTGCTGTGAAGTTTAGTTTTTTTTTTTTTCCTTTAAATCGATAATGTGATTGTGTACAGAAAAAAATATTATACTTTGCTTCTATTTGAAGTGTATTGAATTTTGTTGTGTTGTGCACATTGTGCGATGATAAGCCTTGAACATCTAAAGCTCTTTTACATAGCTTGAAATTTGTTTAATTGAGATTTTAATATATTTGATAGCTATATAAGCCTTGAACATTTAAAGCTCTTCTACATAGCTTGAAGTTTGGGTAATTCAGATTTTAGTATATTTGGTAGCTATGTAAAGCTGCACTTGGTAATTACTTGGAAGTGGAAGACTGGGGCCAATGAATGGAGCATCTTGGCCAAACATTTTGAGCGTCAAGGAAAATCACCACACGCCTATCATTGAGTAAGTTAACAAGATTTTACGGTCTTTTGGCTATAGTTTGCTTCAATTGTATTCTCTAGAGGAAGTGTAAAAAGTGCCAGCTTAATACCTCCAATTTTTATCTAGCAAAAAATGATTAGACGATTCAAGATTATGAATAACATAGTGGCTTAATTATGCAACAAAAACTCAGATGTTATAATTACTTTTTGGTTACATGTTTTGGTGTTTCATGAAAATTCAGTTTGTTCTATTTCTCAAGGAAATTTAAATGAGATGAAAGCTGATATTATCTAGAATAGTTTATTGTTTGATCTAACATCATTGTTTTCATATTTGGCAGCAATATATGGCACATCTAGCTTCTCAAGGACTGATGGGGGGTGCCTACGGTGACAGCACCTGCAGGTGCTGTTTAAAATTGCACAGCAGGCACCCCCCACTCCTCAAGGACAAGTGGATGGAAATTGAAGAATTGAGGATTAGCTGCAGCTCGTATTTTTCGAAGAACTTAAGAATGATTCGAACATCTCAAGTGAATGCTTAGTACCTGAACCTATTCTTCTTTCTATTCTCACAACTGGCCATGACTGAACTCATGTCACGACCAATTGTATGTAGTTGTTTCACATGTCACCAATCGAAAGAGTTTAAAAATATTAGTTTGTGGGGAAGATAGTGTGCCTATAAGGCAAATAAAAAATATTGTCTACAAAGATGTTTTTAGTAATATATAATATTATTTTTTATTTTGTTTATTTAATTTTCTTTATTTATGAATATAATAATAAAGTTGGATAAATAGTTTAAAATTGATCACCCCGTGCATCGCACGGGTTCTGTACTAGTTTAATTTGGAATCAAGTTAAAGTTTAGCTTCAGGTAAATGTACGTACTGCTGGTTCTAGACCCAGCTCATTCCCTTGTTATTAGTTTTTTTAATTAATTTTATTAAATTAAAGACCAGTGAACAAAATTAGAAAAAGAATGTATAACGTTTATGGTGAATAAACTCTCACAAGCCAAATATTTTCGTTGTTAAATATGTCAAGTTAATTATCAACCTTGTAGGCAAGAGAACTATCCCCTATATATTTATTAATTCAGAACGTGATGAGCTTAAGTGGCATGCTCGAATGCTTCGTAATCTTATGTGTCAAAATTACATGCTTTATTATTAGGCTTAGATAAATTTTAATTTAATTTTAATCTAAAAATAATTAAGTTCGTATTACCATAAATATGTTGATTTATTTATGATCATTTTAGATGTATTAATTATATTTTAATATCATTTATTATTATAACTATATTGAATTGTAAATTTATTTTAAAATTTGATAAATTTTGTATTTCTTATCGGTTTTACATATATAATATATCAAATTAATCATTTTTTGATGAGCTTCGATTTGACATCCATATTGTATATAAAATATATATATATATAATATTTATCTTTATAATAATAAAAATATTTATTAAAATTAATTAGAAAATAAAATTATTTCTCAATTAATATATTTATGTTTATTGTAGTTATATGCTATAAGTTAGAAAAAATTAGTATAATATAACACATTTATATCGCACAAGTAACAAGTGTCATACTAAAATATATTATAATATATATTTCTTTATAAAAAGTATTTAATTTTCAACAATTCTCATTAATTTTAAATTGTAAGAAAAAAAATTTAACAAGCACCCGTGTAATATACGGGAGTTGTACTAGTCTTACAAAAATTACGGATAATCTATATGCATTTATTTCATTATCTATTTAGATATAATTGCTAGCTAACCAAATAATTTTACCTAATAAATTATAGCTAGCTGGCACTATTCACATTTCGCCCCAAAATCGGTTACAAATGAATTATTTATCCTGCTTTAGTTAGCTTTTGATAATCACAACATGAGAACTATGTTTGGAAAGTCTTTAGATGTTGTATATGTGTAATTTTTTTAGAGTGTTATTTCAATTTTAGTTGGTGGCATGATTTGCATTTAAACATAATTTGTCGAAAAAAAATGAATTACAAATTCCTAAAATTTATAATTATATATTAGTCAATACAAAAAAAAATACATATATCAAATTAAAATTCAGTAAACACAATAAAAAAATTTAACATTTTAACTCCTTTATTGTAAAATTTTGCCTGCAATTAGAAAAAGAAAAAACATTAATAATTATAAAATTTATAATATCAATTAATTTAGATCACAAAATACAAAATGAACAGTTTGGCCCTATCCAAGATACATAATATCTTATAAAATCAGGCAATACATATACAAAATAATTATGAAATTAAAGCAATTAATGTAAAATCAGGAGTAAAAAATAAAAAATCAAATTATACAAATAATAAAAAGGAATATTCTCATTCGTTTTGTGGGGAAGAAAAAACAATCAATTTCAATTATTGGTGAGCATCAATCATGCAATTTTTGTAATTAAATATTTTTTATACACACATTAATCATTAATTTGAGGTAATTAAATAGATTTTGACTGAGTAATACACAAAATAGTTTTTCAGCATCAATCATTGAATTAATACACACGTTTTTTCAACCTATAAATACTGAACCATTTTTCAAATTATAATCACTTCATTTCAGAAAACAATAATAACCTTTATTTCAGAAATAAAGTCACAAAAAACATACAACTAATCTCCAAATAGCTTCTTACTTTGATAATCTTACTTTTCTTGTTAAGAACAATAACAAAACAACTATTTTGAGATTAATATGGTTTTATCCAAAAAAAAAAAAAGAGAGAGAGAGAGAGAGAATCAAACCCAGAGTTTGTTTTTAATGACTTCAAGGTATAAATTATATTTATATGTTACTCTTATTAATTTTATCACATATATTATGTTTTTTATTTTATTTTTTGATACATCAATTCTTAAATTTTAATTTTCTGTTTTGAGGGTGAACGCATTCATGTGTCCGCACCCAACAACTTGGCTGAAAATTTTAGACTGTTAATAAATGGTGAAGGGAGTACCTATGGAATAAAGAATTTCATAGTGGAAACCAATCGCAACATGTACAAGACTATTCCAAAAAATGACAAGCTGGTGTTTGATGAAGACACTGAAATTAAGGAGGATTTTTATGAAGACTACCCTCGATTCATGTTCAATTTCAAGGATTTCAGCGGTTTGGCCGATCCATCATGCATTGACTCATCAAGGCTTATTGGTAATTTTAATATACTTTTAGAATTTTTTTATTTATATTTTTTACATTAAACTATTTTCTAATGGTACATATATATTGAACTGTAGATGTCATTGGTCGAGTCGTTTTCTTTCAGAGTGTACAAACATCAATGTTGGGAGGTGTAGAAAAGAGATTTATTGATGTTCTTCTAAAGATAATCGGTAAGTTTAAATTATCCTATTGTAATATTAATTTTCAAGATCTAAATATTGTACTAATTTTCAAGAAAAGGGACAGTTAAGGTAATATATTCTCTTAGGGGTGAGCAAAACTAAGCCAAAATCGAAAAAACTAGCCGAATCTAGCAATTTGGAGCTGTTCAGATCGATTTTTTATTTAAAAAAAAAAATAGTTCGGTTTCGGTTCATTTTTTTCTACGTTGTGGCGCGATTATAGTTTTTCATAAGTTCGACTTTTGGTTTTGTTTGGTTGGGTGCGGTTTTGCACCGAACTGCATTAAATTTAATAATATATATAGAAAAAAAAGAGATAAAATTAAAAACCGAGCCGAACCGTGCATTTTGGTGCGATCATTTTAGTGTAAAAAAATTTCAGTTCGATTTCGATTCAATTTTTTTCTAATTTGTGGGCAGCCAAAATTGGAGCAACCACCACCGCCGATGAGATGGCTTCATTCCGATCTATCCGTTTTAGCTCCCCACCATTGCAGCGTATCAACACAGCTGCACTTTTCTTCCCCAATTGCCCTAGAAGACTCCCCAAATTCCTCGTCTCCTCACTCCCAACATCACTATCGTCCATATCATCCTCATTATCCATGGAAACCCCTCCAGAAGGCTACAGAAGAAACGTAGGAATTTGTCTCATTAGCCCCTCCAAACGGGTCGGTTCCCTTCTCTTTTCACTCAATCAATACGATCTTCTTTGAATTTTGTGTTTTTTTGGTTTTGATTATTCTGTGCTTTGCTTCTGTGTTAGATTTTTGCTGCTTCGAGACTCGATATACCAGATGCCTGGCAAATGCCTCAGGTTAGTTCATTTATTCATCTGGGATGGTTATGGCTTTGTTGCGAACACTGAATTTGATGTATGAAAAGAAGAATGATTATTATTCTGCTGCGTGCACTAGGAAAGGGCTCTGCATTATTGTGTATTTTAATCTTACAGTGATCATTTGGAGGCCACCATGAGTGTTATAGCTCAAGGAATGTCAATCACCAAGTTTTTTGGCTTTTTGGTCTTGATTATCTCCTAGCCTTTCAATTTGTTTGTTCTTATCTTTATATATTTGAAATCTGAGATTCGATTGAGTCGGGCTGAATTCAAAGCATGGGAAACCACTTAGGAATTCAATGTACCTGAGTTTACTTCATTAGACACTTTGTTTTATGTCTAATGCTTATATCCTCAAAGTATTGCAAATAATATGTGGATTTGAAAGTGCGGTGTGATTGCATAGGGCGGTATCGATGAGAGTGAGAATCCTAGAAGTGCCGCCATAAGAGAATTAAGAGAAGAAACTGGAATTACGTCTGCCGAAATTGTTGATGAGGTATGCATGTAAAGATGACTCTTTGCATTTCTAATTTCTTGGTGCACTTTGATGAATATTTTGATTTATATTTTGACTTCAAATGGATTTATTTGTTTTTGCTTCATTCAGACTTCATCATGAGCATATAGAGATATCATGTTCTTGGTCATTTTTCTTTATCTGTATCAATATTTAATCTGCAGGTTCCATATTGGTTGACATATGATTTCCCACCAGCTGTCGGGGAAAAACTAAAGCAGCAATGGGGTTCCGACTGGAAAGGTCAAGCACAGAAATGGTTGAGCCCACTCCTTCCTCTTTTTTGACTAATTCGGAGTGCTTTTTAATATATGTTTCTTACGACTTTCGTTTTCCTTTTGGACTCCACATAGCTAGGTACACTAAGGCACCAATCAACTGACAGGCTATTGACATGGTTCATATTATAAATTGTAGCAGTAGGTCTTGTGTTATTCTAGTTGCATCATGTTGTTATTGTAAGTGTTAAATTGATAATTTCTGTTAAATCCGGACTAGGGAAACTAGACAACCCTATGGAAAACTCGAATGAGTGTGCTAAGAAGACTTTCTGTGATCACAAACATATGTAGTTGGGGGGTTCAGTTGTCGGGTTTCTTGAGTTATAATGCCATTTAGAGATTTATGGTGATCTGTTGTTGATATGTGGTCTGTTGTATCTCTCTTACTAAAATACGCAATGAGTTCTCATAACGAGGGGACTAGCATAATGGCGCATTTATGAACCATCCATCATTTTACTTTTGCATTCTTTTATTGTACTCTGTGGTACAACCCTCTGTTCTAAGAATCACTCAACATTTAGTATATATAAGCATAATTGTATCCTAGACCTAATTTCCACTGAATCAGTTGGCAATAAGTCTTTCAAAGATAGAGAAGGAGTTCTTTGATTGAATCCAGATTCCCTGTTAAGTATTTGTTGCATTTTACATCAATATTATCTCAAGCCTCCTATTGAAACTTTCTTTTTCTTAAAATTAAATAGTTTGAATCTGTCTGATATGAAAGTGTCCGTAACTTAAGGTTTCTCCTGAAATTTACTGGAAAGGACGAAGAGATCAATCTTCTGGGTGACGGGACTGAAAAGCCCGAGTTCGGACAGTGGTCGTGGATGTCGCGTCAAGAAATAGTTGACCATGTCAGTTTTCTATCAATTCCGAAAAAAACACTGTTGATTTATCTTCAACACATCTGGTGATTGATTTTTTTATTTTTATATTTTTCTTTTGGCAGGCAGTGGATTTCAAGAAGCCTGTCTACTCAGAAGTTCTGAAAGTTTTCTCTTCACATCTTGACTAGGTTATCGAATTTATGCCGTGTGTCCGAGGAGACCCATTGATTTCTGCAGGTTGCGAGGTTATTGTATTTTGTCTAACATGGTACTTTGAGTATAATTTCATATCAAGTATTGTGTGCTTATTTTTGTTCTTCACTATGTAATGCTTGTTCATTGCAATATCAAATAGTGAAGAAAATCCTTCACTATGTAATGCTTATTCATTTCAATATCAAATAGTGAAGAAAATCCCTGCAAAACCGGTTAAGTTCAATTAAAACTCCATATCTTTATATACTATAATAAAAATAAAAGCTTTATGTATAGAATCGGTTTTGCTATGGAGCCATCGCATAATTCGGTTTTCATAGAGATACCTCGAGGAAATTGAATTTTCAATTAGAGTTTTAAGGTTTATTCACTAAAAATTCCTCTTCGAAATTGGAAACAAAATCTTATCACTAAATATTGATTGTACAAATGACGCTTGATGTCATGACTGCCATCCATGGTTTGACTAACTTTCCAATCTTATCAGTAAACATTGATTGTATATTACAAAGGAAATTTGAAGCAGTCATTAAATATTGATTGTGTAATACAAAAGAATCTTGAAAAAAACTTAAAAAGGTCTTTGATATTGATGCGTCAAAAATATCGACTCACTAAGATTGTTGGTTGAACTGCTTCGTCCTGACTCATCTTGTGAACTGGGTCAACTTGTAAAGTGCCGGGGGTGGAGCTCGGAATTAACACTTCGACACTCAATTCAGAAAATTGTATCTTAAATTGTAGGTCAGTTGCACCTGCAAATCTCATATGAATTAAGGGTAGTATGTGTTTGATCTTAAATTTGATGTCGAACATAAGGATCTTTTGAAAATCATATCCCATGAGGAAGATGTAATAAGGCGTTAACGTGTTGGTTTCTATAATGACTATGACTCCTTCTGATATTAGAATTTCTTTCAAGATCTAGTGAAGACAATTCCTCGTGGTTTCTTATGCTATAGTCATAAATAAAAGTCACGACCAATCTTTCTCTCATGTTGGACTAAATTTAAAAAAAAAATGTTTAACCACGATCATTTACATGTTGCTATTTCCGTATCACGGACTAAATGTGTTTGACTATTAGTTTGTGATGATGACTCACCAACAAATTAAACATAAAATGATGTGATGTATGACTTTTACATGTTGAATCATCTAGAAGTGTATAACTGACCTATTATTATAACTTTTTTAGTACCGAATAATCTTCCACCTTACAACTGTTATACACTGAATCGCTCGGGTCTCAAACTAGTTAGATTTATATGATGACTGATAGATATGGGGATATATATATATATAATTACTGGCTCATAAGCATTTAATAAAACCTATTAAATTATACCTATGTGGCACTTTCCCGCCAAAAACCGTTACTTTTTAATTTTATTTTTTTTATTATTTTATTGTAAAAACATATTTAATTTGTATTAATGTGTTGCTATGTTAATATTGGTCAAAACCTCATTTACTGTGTAGCCGTTACATTTCTCTTTTTTACTTATTATCTTTAGTACCTTTTGAATTTCGAAAATAAATTTTTTTATTATTAAAAAATTGATTCACTCACAATATTTTATCTATTTATTCTCACTAATTTATGATACTTTGTTTTTTAGTAACTAAGTTGTTTTTGATTTTAGTAAAAAATTTCGACAATATAGTCCTAACTACATTTAGCAAAATTTACCAATTTTAAGTGGCAATTAGATACTCATACTTCTTTAGCAAGTAGCTTTTGTAAAATCCACGACAAGTAGGTGTATTCGTTTGGAATTTCGAGTGACATTTAAAGGCTATTCGAGATTTGAAATTTTTAAATTAGAGGAATCATATGAAATTTTAAGTTTGGATGTGAGATTTGTAATGAGTTTTAGTATATGTTTATTTCTTTAGAAATTCCAATTAGAAAGTTTTAACAAATTTTAATCTCAAATAATTAAATACATCGGGATGAATACCAAATGAATATCTCAAGACTTTTGTAAGTCTTGAGAACTCTAAATTAAATTATACCATAATTTTCAAAGTCTTAAAAATTCTTCAAATTTTTTTTAAAATCTCAATTAAATACACACTTAAATTTAAAATAGCTATTTTGTAAAATCCACAATAATTAATTAAATTTAAATATTTCCCATATTATATACAACACAACAAGTAATTAAATTTAAATATTTCCATTGTATATACAAATCACAAACTCCTTTGCATCTCACTGTACAATTCATTCATGTTGGAATAAAATTGTCCCATTAAATGACAAAAAGCAACTTCTGGAGAAAAATCGGCCACCGCCACATAACATAATCCCCCAAAATTTATATATATACTAGCTAATAGCATTTAATAAAACTTATTTAATTTTACCGATGTGGCAATTTAACCCGTTTCCCACCAAAAATTGTTACTTTTGATGTATTTAATCTTTCATTTAATTATTAAATAATCAACACTAATCACTTCAAAATTACAAAAATCATTTTAAACTTTTGATTATTGACAGTTGACCATATAATGTGATTAGATGTTATAATTGTGGTTAAATTTAAATTAGTATTTTTTTAAAAATAAAAAATGTATTTGAAATTCTTAAATAAATAACAAATAATTCACCAAAAAGAAAAAGATGTACCAAAATATACATTACATCCAATCAGATAAACGCAATTTTTTTAAAAAAAATAGATATTCCAACTCCTTTAATTGTAAATTTGGCCAGCAAAAAGGTGAAAGAAAAATAATTAATCATTAAATGCATACAAATAACTCACAATATTTTATTTGCATTTGTGCAAATGCACAGGTCGAATACTAGTTTGATAGAATATATGACTAGTTAGGTATTATATGATAAACTCATATACATATGGGATTTTGATATAGTATATGGGCCTTTTTTTATATACTAATCTTTCTTGAAAACTTTGTAACTTCTAGATATTCAGAAAAGGGCAGTTAAGGTAATATAATCAGTAATGAGGAATTTACACCCCTTACTATCATATATAATTTATATTACACTTATATCTTCATTATATTTTTATTTATAAAATTACTAAATCAAGTTAAAAATATTACAATTATACTTGAGATCCTTAAATGGAATTTGGATCCTTAACTTTGGGAATATTAAATAGAATTTAGATCCTTAATTAACCCAAACTCACAAATCTAAACAGATCTTCCTCCCTCTCCGCTCAACTTTCTGGTCTTGTTTGGTAATCAGCGGTTAGCTGTTAGCTGTTAGCGGATTATATTAGCTGTTTTGACCAGTGGATTGCATTAGCTGTTTTGACCAGCTGATTGTGTTAGCGGTTTGTGTTGTAAATATTTTCCGGAGCAGAATCGAAAGATTCAAACACCGGGTCGTGTCTCACGAGGAAGGTTAGCCGGAATATAATGCGCGTTTATTCAAGAACACAAAAAGAATTAAAATACCTAAACATACTAATTCAAATAATTGGATTGGTTTTTGAATTATCAACAACTGTAAGAATTGAAATAAAGCAAGTAAATAGCAGACAATCACGTAGAACAAATATGATTTAAGGGGGATAGGGTATCGGGGATATCGCTTCCGGTTCTCAATTCATTTAACGGGAAATCAATTACTCGGCTAAAGGACTCGAAAAACAAACTCATCTAGAAATTCATTCTCAATATCTCACGAAACAAGAGAATAAACATAAATGAACAATTATCGAATCAATTAGCACGTAGACAATACTTCTCCGAACAAGCCTATTCTAAACGAGCCTAGATCGATCGATTTCTCCCCTTTCGGTTCTAAAATTGATTAATTAGATAAGATGGTGATCAATCATCTAACCCTAGGATTAGCACAACTCGAAAAGATTGAGCAATTAACACGCATAAACGAAATTGAACCGGAACGATAATCCCCTAACCCTAGCTAGAAAATTTAGCCACTCATAGCAATATCAACATAAACATTCACAATTAAACTAGCCATCACAATCATATTTCAATGAAAATAAGTTCTTACGATTAAAGGAAAATCCAATGTCGATAAACAACGAGCAATGTAAATCAGAGAAAGTACCAAACTTGGAGTTATTCACTCTCAAGAATCAATCCTCCCCAAAATCTAAGAGAAAGAATCCAGTTTTAAAGTTCAGTGTACGAGAGAAAAAAAAAACGATGAAAACCTAGGTGAAAAAAAATAAATATGAATAATCACCGAGTTCACAAAATCTATCCTATTATTTTCTACTAACGCGCGACTCGCGGCCGCGGAGAGCCCGTGGGCCGCGGTGAACATCGGCTCCGCGGCCGCGAAAAATCTTCTCTGAAGTCCGAGAGCTTGGGACTGTTTGAACGCCGCGGCCGCGGTGAAGGGAAGGTCGCGGCCGCGGAGAAGAAGAACATCTGGGCGCTTGTTGTGTACAAATTATTCTTTTTACCGAGTACCGAATCGAAAGATTCGTTCCCCGGGTCGATCTCACGAGGAAGGCGGTTCGGAATTTAGCTCTAGTATCAATTACACATCAAAGAAAATAAAATCCTAACACTCTAATCAAGATGGATAGGATACTATCAACTAAGAAATTAAGAACATGCAAAAATATAAGTCTACCTAAAAATGAGAGTGAAACAAAGATGAGAAGCTAGGGAGTCGGGGATGATTAATTCAAGTTCTAGCAAAACCGGGCAATTCATTGTTCGGTTCGAGATTGACACTCTCGCTTAGACATCTAGCGGTTCGCTCCCAATAACTCTTCGTAACAAAGGATTGAACATAGACGAACAAGTTCGAGCATACAACACAGGTCAATTATCCCGATCCCAATAACTTTTCGTAACAAGGGACGGGTCATTGACAAGTGCGTATTTCAATCTAAAACACATAGATTAGTCAATTACGACATCGTCTACCTCATGTGAGCCTAAGTCTACGACTTCTCCCCTTTCGGTTCTGAAAGCCGCTAAATCAATTAGAAGGTGC